AATTGATTCACCGATGAAGAGCTACCGTATCACAAAACCATATATGCAAGCAATGCTATGGGTTTTGAGTTATAAGCAAGTGACCATATTAAGCGGATCACCATATTGCCTCCACGTACTATAGCTAAGACTATTCCACTAAACGCAGAAGTGAAATATTCAAGACTTGATGAATACTCCTCACTTTGTTAAAGCCTGACGGCAAATGTCCCAGTATGAGGTAATCTATATGTGGGGCCTATGTTCAGCAGTGGACTTTATTATTCTGTAGCGGTAACGGTAAAGCATTTTGCGCACAATTGCATCAGGGCCATATGTGGACTTTTACCCGACGTGTCCTGTAAACCACTGTATAAAAGTCTAGGATTATTGCCATCACCTTCACTTTACGTTTATGAAGTTGCCGTCTTTGTACACAAAAATACAGAATTATTTAATAAAGTGACTAATTATAGATTGAGAGATCCTCACAGAATGATATATAATGACACTCAAAGGTCGGATAAGTATGCAAAAAGTATGTAAACAATCCTTTAAATATATACATTAGACACGGATATTATATTACTCTTTTCGATATACCTTATATAGTAATCGTTAAGTACATAAAGATTTATATCAATTTTACCTATTGAGGTTTGATTACAATAAATAATTAATAAATAAATAAGCATTTTAGTCACTAAAATAGTTTGTGATTATATAAATCGATATAGGTGAATCGTATTTTTATTTTGTCCAATAAAATAAAATTTCCAAGTCTGGGTGTTTGTTCTGGTGAAATTTATAAACGCATCCATGATACAGAAAATCCCACCAAAGAGCTAAAAATATTTTCTCTAAAAGAGACAGTAACCTAATTTTTAAAGGTACGGACTTCAAAATTCAAAAGACATAAGTTCAAGTCTGCCATTCGACTAGACTGTGCTGTATCACTCAATTATAGAGCATTTTCAACCGACTTCAAAAAAAGACGATTTTCAATTCGACTGTATTTTTTATGTTTATTACCTCAGATTTTTTTTTCTAGGTGAATCGATTTTGATGAAGCTTTCTTTATTTGAAAACACACGAATCTCATATGGTCCCATATAAACCGACTAGTAGTTTTTGAGTTATTCTTAATAATGCGTATTTGACTTCGATTCTCATTTTATCTTTATTGAAGTCGGTTGTACAAAATTTTTAATTTTACCACTTGTGGTAAAAATATTTTTCCTGTGAGAACAAAATTAAGTCATTTCAAGGTAAGCGTAAATTCGTGTTCACGTTATTATCATAATGTCAATTCGTCCTTGTCTTACATTATAATAAGCCCTTACATATTATAAAATTAGCGTTTTGTAAGGGAGGAATATAAAGTCTTTTTTTCCTTAAAATATATTTAATTAATCAAAGTATGCGCCGTTGTTATCTACGCACTTTTACCATCTCATAGGTAATTAATAGAATCAGGCGTTACTTTGCGGAAATCTATTATAATAAATAATTTATTTATTATCAAGAGCCGTGGTAACTCAGATGATTAGCGCTCGCAGCAAATTTCACAGTACGCGAGCAAACCGGGTTCGATCCCCGGCGGCAACAATGAAATTGTTAATTGCAATTTTAAGTGCTGATATACCACGTGCTCGGCGGTGAAGGAAAATATCGTGGGGAAACCTGCATGTCTGAGGAATAAAAAAAATATTTCTAAGACATGTGAAGTTCGCCAACACGCATTGGGGCAGCGCGGCGGACACTTCCTTGCCCTAAAACCCTCTCAGAAATGAGGGGAGGCCTGTGCCCAGCAGTGGGACGTATATAGGCTGTAACTTTACTTTACTTTAAATAATTTATTAATTTGCTTTGGTTAGCGGAAGGTTGCAAAGTAATAAATTATTTATTATCTTTAGGTAGTTCATTGATCCCTTTACTAAAAAAAAAAACATGGGGACGAGAATCAATAAACTCTGTAAGAAGTTGTCCAAATTCCAGAAAAAATGGTAATCTGTTGGTGCAAGATCCGGGGAATACGGCGAATGTGGCAGACATTCCGATTGTAGCTCATCTAACTTAGTGGTTGTTCGTTGTGTGTGGTCTTGCGTTGTCGTGAAGCAGCAGTGACCTTGAGCAATTGACCAATCTCTGTTGTTCAGTAGCTAATTCTTCATAGTTTACCGTTGCTGACAATAGATATCTGCCGTAATCGTTTGACCAGATTTTAGAAAGCTGTAGTGAACGACACCATTGCTATTCCACCAAACACTTACAAGTATGTAGCTTTTTCTGAGTCAATTTTAGTTTAGTTTCGGTAGAACTCGTACTCTTAAATATACCGATATTTCATGTTTTCCATTGTGCGGTAATAAGCGACGCCAAAGAAAAAAATGATAAGGAAAAACCAAACGAATGACAGTTTTGAAAACTCAAATGTACCGGCTAATTGAATTTATAAATTTGAATTTGGAATTTTTTCCAAACAGGAGATATTTTGAGATCAAAATTGTCAGTACGACAAAACGCTAATTTCATACGTAAGGACAATATATAGCTAGTCTTATAATATTTGGAAACATAAACACCCTAAGCATAATAAACATAAAATATAAAACATAATGTAATGTTTTATGTTTATTTTTATTAACTAGAAGGCTAAATTACTGCGTGGGAGCCCACCTGGGGAGGCAAAATATCCGCAGATGTTTCTCTACGTTTGAAGAGAGAAGAGAGTCTGTAATAAATATTGGTTATGAGGCATTCTATCTTACTAATAAAGGCCCTCAAGAATTCATTATAAATCTTTAACTTAAGATATGTGTAGGCTTTTGGAATAATAAAAAGTATATTAATATAATTATGTGTTTATAATTTTAATATTCATAATTTCTGGAACATCGATAAATATCTCCAAGCTACTTAAAATTCACTAATCTATGCTATATTTAGTATAGGAGACTCCGAGCGGTGCTTGGCTTTTATATATAAATACATTATATACAATTTTCTCGTAGATAAAACCTAGATAACGTGTAAGGTTAAATATATGTACGTAATTAAATAAAAATATCGTCCTTTTTATAGAGTATGAGTGCCAATTGAGCACACTCCACCTGATGATAAGTGAATGCTCAAGCACACAGACATTTACATACATCCTGGAATAACAATCAAAATGCAGATATGTACGTTGTTACAAATGAAGACCAAGATACAATGGCTCGTTTCCAGTGAAAAGAGCTTTGATTCTCTACACTCGCCATACGAAATACAGCAGCATTAAGCTGCTGTTTTACGCTGGTATTCTATGAAATTTGTAGTATATGCATTACACTTATATAAGGCAAGTGTTGCCCAACAGAGAGAGTTGACCAACATTATGTCCCACCTTCGTTACATTATAAAGTTGCACCAAGATTTTTAAAGATCGAGTCGTGATACATCCGTAATATAGCTGCAGTATGACCCTGTCACGTAATCCAAATCGTTAGAATGGTTCCGGAGAAACGAATTAGGTACATAAATGTAAATATGAAACGAGTCTATATATATAAATTGATATTGGGTATATCTGTTTGAGATTAAAACACCTCGTCACTATTTTACGGATCAACAAGTTGTCATATAATATGTGAAATTTATGGTGCAGGTTTTTATGCTTTTTTTCTTTAATTTGATGATATCCACTTTATTTCATACCACTTCTAGGTAGCACTGTAGCACATCAACTCCTATACTGTTCATCGTCAGACGATTGCCATTTTATATATAGGCAGAAAAATGTCTTCCGGGTTTTGTTAGTGTAAATTTGTACAAGAATTGTTCAGTTAAAGTATAAGATAAACAATGATTTGAAATGAAAGCTTTTGACGTTGCATTGTTTAAATTATAAATAAAGTCGTAGAAGCTTTGTTATCACGAATATTAATACTTCGATAAGGCGTGTTTCCTGTCGTTATCTTTTTCTAAAATATCTTATACGAAATGGAATATCAGGCGACTTTGAATATCAGAGTACTTCTAATTATATTATTCTATATGACTGAAAGGGGTACCGGATCTAAAATTTTCAATGACCCATTATTATGTTTTAAATAAGATACTGTTTGAATTTATTTTAATTTTGTTTGTTGTTATGACGAAGCAAAATGTAATGAAAAATCAAGCTAAACATTTTCACCGTCAAAACCTTTAGTTTGTTTTTAGTTCGGTGCCAAATTAAACAAAGTAGAACAATTATAGAATAAACTCTGGGCCTATACTAATGTGTGATAGAGTTTATAGTAGTTTTTTTAAAGAAGAGGGGGCAAACGAGCATGCGGCTCACCTGATTTTAAGTGACTACCGCCGCCCATGATCAACCGCAACAACAGGGGAATTGCAGGTGCGTTGCCGGCTCTTTAGAAAGGAGTAAGCTCTTTTCTTGAAGGTCCCTAGGTCGTATCGGTCCGGAAAAATCGCCAGTGATAAAGTATTCCATAGAGAGGTCGTACGCGAAAGAAAACTCCTTCTGAAACGTGCAGTGGTGGACCGCCAAGCATTCAGATGGTGTGGATGGTATCGGGACGTTTGCCGCGTAGTGCGTTAACGAAATTTGGCGGCTGGATTAATCCGAACAATTCCTTAGAGTACTCCCCGTGGTATATGCGAAAGAAAATGCAAAGAGATGCAACATCTCTTCGTAGCGCCAGTGAATCGATTCACTGGCGCATGAAGCACTCGGGCGTCGATAAAGTCGATAAAGTTTTGTATATTTAATAAAATTAAATCCAAACCCAAGCATACAACTGCAAGACTTCAATATATTGTAGGTTCAAACTGCGTAGATAAGACAAAAAATTAGTAATTTTAATTTGAAGGTAGGCAGTCTCGCGTCTGGCGTTAAGCGAGTAGCACGCGTTCACACGCATCGCTAAGTGTTGACGTACGTTGCTTGTTATTGCTTACTCACGCGGGTAGGTAGGGCCGCGCGGCCTGCTTACGCGCAAGCTTACTCAGTGTTACTTGCGGGTATACGCAAAATGACGGACGAGAATGAAGAATTTAACATTAATATTATGTATAGCGAAGACGATATTGCAGAATTAGAAGTAGAAGAGCGGGATAGTATTGGTAAAAATACGCCTAGGATTATTAAAAGAATCAGAGAAACGGAGGAGAGTGATGATGAGTGGAAGATTGTGAAGGGAAAGGGGAAGAAAAAACGACTGCACGAGGATGAGAAGTTAAGTACAGAAACAGATATCGAGGTATACATTGCATGCAATGAAAAGCTGCCCAAGCAATTTGCTTTGGCACGGTTATTCAAAGAAAATGGAATTACTGATATAATTAGAGTGAAATACTTAAACCCATTTAAAGTAAGGTTGCAATTTTCGAATGAGGAAAACGTTCAAAAATTAAGTACCTGTGCGACATTCATTTCTATGGGATGGAGAATTCAAAAGGCAATGGAGGTAAACTACTCTTACGGAATTATAAGAGACGTGGAGTTAGAAATGTCTGAAGAAGAAATTATGAAAAATATATCATGCCCAGATTCTACAGAATTAATATCCGTTAAAAGGCTTAAGCGACGAAGTTACACGAAACAAGAAGGGTGGTGTCCAAGTGAAACCATACGGCTTTGTTTTAAAGGGTCCTCTCTACCTTCATACGTATATATTTTCGATATGAAAATAACTGTTCAGCCATATGTTTATCCCGTTTCACAATGCTCACAATGTTGGAAGTTAGGTCACATTCGCAAGTTATGTCCATTTAAGAAAACAATATGCCCGAAATGTGGGGGAGAACATGAGAATTGTGACACTAAAACATTCAAATGTGTCAATTGTTCTGGAAGTCACATGGCTTTAGCTAGGACTTGCCCTGCCTACCTCAAAGAAAGAAGGTTGCGAGAACTTATGGCCGAGTTTAATTGCACATACAGAAGGGCTTTAACAATCTATGTTGCGCCAACACCACGTAGACAAATGGACCTAAAATTTATAGAACAAGATAGCATCCAGCAGGAGTGTAATTATAACACACCGGAGAGGGAAGCGGCTAAAGTCCAAAATGTTCCTACTTTTGCAGAAGTGACGGCCAATAGCATATTGCATAACGTAGACAATATTAGCCAATGTGAAAGTAAGACATCGTCGCCCCGCCGGCGCCAGATAAAAAAGGAGAAAAAAGTACAGAGCGTGACACGTCATTACAAAGTAATAGATTTGAACCTAGTACTAGCTATAGTGAGGCAAATAACAACGAATCTTCTAATAAAATATCTTTCAGTGAGCTACTTATGAGGTTAAAGGAAGTAATTTTTTTTAATAATTTTAGTTTGCAAGAGAAAGTTTACAAAGTGATAAAGTTATGTGTTGAGTGGTTAATTTTGGTAACTGTGGACAATATCTCGGAATGGCCAATGTTGAAAACCGTTTTAAACTTATTTAATGGATGAACACCTTAACTGTAAAATAGTAAATCTTAATATCTTACAGTGGAATGCTCAAAGTGTTAAGCCTAAACTAATGTCCTTAGAGCCTTTATTAACTATGGAAAAAATACATATCGTAGCCTTAAGCGAAACTTGGTTAAACTCTGAAACTTATATTAAAATCAAAGATTATAATATTTACCGTAATGATAGAGCTGACTCTTATGGGGGTGTTGCTGTTTTAGCGCACAAATCTCTTAAAACGGTTAGGGGGCATTTACAACTAAGTAATGATGGCATAGAAGCTATTTATGTAAAAAATTTTAACTGTCAGGATTTAGAGAATATCGTTTCTATCTATTGTCCATCGTCAGTGCGCACTTGCCAAAGAAATTGGGATGAATTATTTTCTACATTTAGTTGTAAAACCGTAATCATTGGGGACTTCAACGCTCACCACTCAAGCTGGTCGTACAAGACTGATAACAGGGGTTCACAAATATTTGACGCGCTTTTAGATACGAACTTCGCTATATTAAATAATGGAGAAAGCACTCGAATTAGATTCGTAAATAGAGTCTTACAAGCGTCATCTCCCGATCTATCACTTATGACGTCGGATATCGTCCATAAATTTAATTGGAGGGTACTTCGAGAAACTTTAGGTAGTGATCATCTTATGATTAAAATATCAGGTTTATGTCAAAAGCGGTTAAAGTGTGATCTTAAAAGGAATTTTAAAAAAAGCAAACTGGGACGGTTATAAGAGTACTCTTGAAACACTTTTTGATCAGTTCCCAAAACACACAACCGACCTTCAAAAATGTTACAATACATTTTTGAAATATTTAAATTTAGCAGCTGACATTCATATCCCTTTTATAAAAATAAATCAAAACCCAGAGTCTAAATTTGTACCGAAGTCTTACTGGGACGTAGAATTATCGAAGTCTGTAGCTATTCGTAGACAAGCACTGGCTAGGTTTAGACGTAACTCAACACCTCAGAACTTATCTATACTCCAAGAAAAAATTAGAGACACACAGAGGTTAATTCGTCAGGCTAAATTACGTAATTGGCAGAGGTTTTGTGATTCGGTAAATGAAAAAACAACCACTAGGGATATGTGGAACAAGATGAGATGGATGAAAGGTTTTAGGTCACCTAATACCCACCATATAGACAAAGAAAAAGCAGAAATACTTCTTCGCAGTCTAACGCCAGATTTTGTTTCACCGGAACAGGCTACTTTCAGTTCTAGTAACATGTTACTAGAGGAAGAGGTCTCGATTCAGGAGCTTGACACATGTATTAAATTAAAGGATACATCTCCTGGATGCGATGGCATAGCATATTGTATGTTAAAACACCTTCCGTTTAAGGGCAAATGCATTTTAATCAAACTGTATAATGCTTTTCTTAACAACAGTTTCGTACCATCACAATGGCGAGATATTGGTATTATAGCAATCCCAAAGCCTGGAAGAGACATTAATGATGTATCGTCCTTGCGCCCAATATCACTTATGTCTTGCTTATGCAAAATCTTTCATTCAATTATTAAAGGGAGACTAGAATGGTTTCTGGAAAAAAACAAAGTCTTTTCTTCTAATACGTTCGGTTTTAGGAGAAGCCGATCCTGCTTAGATAGTCTTAGTAGTTTGGTATCAAGGATACAAATAGGGTTTTCAGAGAATCAGTCCACGATAGGATGTTTCTTAGATTTAGACAATGCGTATAATAATGTTGACATAAATGCATTACTTTACACTTTAGATCAACTAAATATAGGGAAAAAAATTTGTCAATATCTTAGTAGTTTCCTTAATGAACGACATCTCAAAATGTATGTGGATAACGTGTTTATCAGTAGATTTACGGGGCAAGGGCTAGCCCAAGGAGATCCATTATCTCCTCTTTTGTTTAATATAGCTACTCTTAATGTATGTAAAAGCGTCAAGAATGTTTATATCTCTCAATATGCGGATGATTTTGTTATATATAAAAATTGCGACAGTATCAGTAACGGAGTTATTGATATACAGTTAGCTCTGAATACTCTTACTAGTTTATTTTTTACGTTAGGCCTAGAAATATCTTCATCGAAAAGTAAAGTATGCATATTTAAGAATGGACGCGTAAGGGAAAGCATAAATATAACGGTTAACAAAAGAAGCCTTAAAATCGTTGAAAGCGTTAAATATTTAGGGTTATGGTTAGATCGATCTCTTCGTTGGAACAAGCACATAAACGAAATAAAAGAGAAAGCCCTTAAGTTTGTAAATATTTTGAAAGTTTTAATAGGACCAGGTTGGGGAGTACACCCAGTTCAGCTACGTCGCTTATATATAGCTATTATACGTAGTAGATTGGATTATGCCAGCTTTTTATTTGATAATAGCCATAAAACACATTTAATAAAACTAGATGTAATACAAAATCAGTGTATGCGGTTAATTGGTGGGTTTGTCAAGAGCACTCCTATCCATGTAATGGAATCGGAACTGCTTTTACAGCCATTATTTATTCGGAGAAGATATTTAGCTGGTAAATTTTGGTTAAAGTGTAGGTCTATTGATGAAAATATTGTGACAAATTTATTATGTATTCTTGATGAACTTAAAGAAAGCTTTTATTGGCGACGTAGAAAAACCCCACTGCTAGTTACAATCTATAGATTATTTAAAGAAACTCGTATGTTTTCAAGTCCTCACTTAGAAATGTTTTCACTCAATTCGTGGATTAGCAAGTTTGATTTGTCCGATTCAATAATCCCTCAAATAGAATTTGTAAATGCGCCTAAACATAAATACAATCCCCATTACCTACGAATTTTATGTCATAAATATTTAGCTGAAAACTTTACAAATTATTATAAAGTATATACTGATGGCTCTAAGGATAAAGAAGGAACGGGTGCTGCGTTTTTAGACATTCAAACCAAAGAATATGTTAAGCTCTGCTTAGGTAAGGAAATTTCAGTTATGCATGCGGAACTCATTGCAATTGCAGAAGCCTTATCTTATGTCAAGTCACTTAAATATGATAAATTGTTGATATTAACAGATTCTCGCAGTGCCCTTCAACATTTAAAGAAATGTACTTCATTGTTTCGCGGTTTTCCATTGGCTTACGACATATTAAATAATATTGTAACGTTAAAATCTAACAACAAAAGCATTGTCTTACAATGGGTGCCTTCCCATATTGGCTTAGAGGGAAATGAGGCAGTAGACGTTCTTGCTAAAGAGGCGATAAGTGATGGGGAGAATACCGACTGTGTACCTTATTACTCTGAACTTCTATCTAAAGTTCGTGAAAACTGTACAGAAAAGTGGTCCGAATACTTTGATGAAAGGTCACTGTCAAAAGGTATTTGGTACAGGACGGTACAACCGCATCTTTCCCGCTTGCTTTGGTTTGAAGGATGCAATATGGGAAGGCAAGAGATCATTACAGCAATGAGGCTTCGTTCCGGACATGTACCATTAAACAAATTTGCGTTTGTAATGAGAAAAGTAAATTCACCAAATTGTGACAAATGTGGAGTTGTGGAAGATGTTATTCACATTATGATGGAATGTGAACGGAACGAAGCATATAGAAAGCAATTGGGTTTGGATAAAAATAGTGTTGGACTATATAATAGTATCCTAGCTTTTCCATTGTCGGATAAAGCTAGGAAACTTTATAAACTTGTTTTACTAGGTATTAAGAATAGGTGATCTTTTGTTTACGTTTAATTTATCATTGTCTGAGTATGTGTTTGGTTGTGTACCTATGAGGGTGACTTGATCTAGTAGATCTAACCCTCTATAATAAATAAAGATTAAAAAAAAAATTTGAAGGTAGGCAAGGTTAACTATGACATTAAGAACTCCGTGACCATAGGTGCTGTAACATACACGAAACGTCGGGAATACAAAATAAATTAATACACGCGATGAAAACCTTAAAATATAGTTTTATTTAAATATGTAGTAATCGCATAAGCATAAGAAATTATTAAGTAATGCATTTATTTTGAATATAGGTAATATTTTTCAAACTACACTACAGATTATTTAAACACTGAAGGTAGCGGATTCATTCAATATTATATTTAAAATGAAACTAAGTAAAGTAGATATGCTGTAAGAAAACAAGAGAAGTAAACTAAGGAAGACGGTAATAATTAATGTAATTTATAAATACATAAGGTTTCTTGCGTTGTAAACTTCAATGATAATTCGTTTGCCGTGGAGCGGCGGCGTAAATGAATCACACCATAATGTTCGTTCTTAAAGGGATATAATAAGACGTGACTATATAAAAGGTTAGAAAAAGCTAATGGCTTTCCATATATGGCTGTATAAATATATCGATTAGTTCGAAGCAGATATAAAATACCCAAACCCAACTAAAACAAACAAATAAAAGCAACGGGCTGCAACGTCAAAGTTGTGAGAAGTCTTGTACTCGTATTTGTATTGTAATCTTCCATCTGCCTGCTAGCCGTCACAAGGATGGTAAATCAAAGCTACATTCTGCGAAGCCAATATCTTTCAGTAGAATTTTACAGTCTGATGATGATGTCCAAAAACAATAGATAATTCTTTTGAAATTTTCGCTGATAATGCGACAATTTTCTGTTTCTTAACCCTCCAAACTATAAATCCGCTCCTGTAAGTTGTGTTGTTTATTGTCCTGCAAATTTATAAGTGTTTCTATTCATTACAGCCCATAAAAGCCTGCTGGTGAATATAGGCCTCCTCATAGATTGGTTAATATGGCAAATTTTGCAACAGTTGCCACGTTTCGGAGGCGGGAAGATGCTGCTGCCCATCGTCTGTTTCATTTTCCCTCTGTCATCTTTTACGATAGCCACGA